CCCCCCCCCCCCCCCCCCAGATGGTATCTCTCCAACATCGCCCTCTTTGGCACCGGCAGAGCGTTGGAGCATTGCGGTTTTGTCCGAAGTATCGACCGCTACGACGGTGTTAGGCGCGTGAAGCTTCGCTCTGGTGCTAGTCTTACAAAATTCGGAGGGTTGTGTTGGTAATCGGAGAAGGTGAAGGAGCGTGCATACCTTTTTGCAAGGAGAAACATGGCATGGCCACGGTTCTTGATGCACTTTGAAAATCGCCAGAGATCAAGGGTGCGAGTTTGTTCTTGTATTCGCTCGTACAGTGGTTGCGTGGGGGGCTTAGGTTTGGTGCCCTCTCCTCTCCGTCGTGCCACCTCGTATCTCCCCCCCCCCCGCTCTTCCTTTCCCTGCACCCCTCCCCCCTCCTGCTTCCCGTTGCAGCCCAAGGCAATCGGTGCTCCCGTGCGCGTGATGCTCTACCCATCCAAGATCTAACTCTGCAGTTTGGCGAGCTATCTATTTGGAAATGATCCCGGACGGCCAATTGTAGCCAAGCCAGCGAGGCCTGTTGGCGATCAAAAGGCGTGCGGCACATCCGTCGAAGAGGATAGCCACCTCCGGCGGTATATCTCCGTGTCGTAGTCTTTTCCCAGCGCGGACATGGCGGCTAGGTTGTTGGAAAGGTGGAGGGGCGGACGTACGTGAGCGCGGCGAAATTAACCAAGCACACGCTACCGGGTGCTCGCTGCTTTAGCGGTTGGTATCTGGTGACGGTGTTTTAGCGTCGAGGCTGTGGTGCGTTCGTTCGGTGGGGGGTGAACATTAAGCTTCACGACCCACCCGCAGGTTGAACAAAAAACATGAAACTCCAATTGATCACAAACCGTGTTTCAAGAAAAACACACCGTGTTTCCCACGTCCCTTATCGTTCACGGGACAGTACAATACCGTGGTTAGCCGTGGTGAAGGCAAGCATAGAGAGGGACACGTGCTGGGACGACCGCATGCCTCGACTCATTCGTTACCGGTGGCGCTTACGTGTCCTTTTACGCTTGCATACGAGCGTCACGTTCGAGCCTGTTCACCGACCGGTACGAGTCACTAGCTTGACGAGTTCAATCACGAGCGCGGTGTGTGTTACTCACACAGAGCAAAAGGGCTGTCGTTTAAGGGGCACCTCGCAACGTTCCAGCTGTCCATTAGACTAGATGGCTGGTGTTTTACAGCGTATGTGCTTGTTGCTCCGTCGCCAGGAAAAAACCTTAGGACCTCTGTCGTGGTGTCCTGTTTCGGTCTGATACCACCAGTATTGTTGCTGTGTCCGGGAGTGCTCATCTTCGGTGACACCGAGTAAGACCCATCCAGCGTTGTTCCGAGATGGGGAGAGCCAGCGGAGAGGAAGACATGCAACACGCGTTCAACACGTGTGTTTTTACACACCTTCAGCAAAACCTCCCGGACACACACATCATCTGTGGCTGAACTGCCGTAGACACAACACACAACCCAGAGAACCGGTCCCGTCCCCCTTAGTCGGGTTCGTCGAGCGTTCGACAGGTTTTCGTTTACGCAAAGAAAACTACTTCGTACGTAGTGCAGGCAACCTAGAAGCCCTCATGGAGTTAGTGGGGTGGACGACGTGTAATTAGTCTGCATCCTGATGTCATCACTGAGGGTACCCAAACGGAATGCGTACAACGGCGCCCACAGTGTAGTCGAGAAAAACTCTTGTCTATACAGTACCGTAAATGACACAAGATAGCACACCCCCTGGACCGAATTTCAAATCCCGATTTCTCAACAGCAGATGGAGCCACAGCGTCGAAAACGGTGGCGTTGAAGCTGTCTCGTCGAGAGCTTTCCAAAAACGTGCTGTTTCATATATGCATCCTCTTCGTCGTGGCGTAATCGAGCTTTGAAAATTGGTCTAGGGGTGAGTTATGTTATGTCATTGAAGTAGCCTACACTACACCGGTCGCCCCGGTGGTCTAATGGGTAGCCTCGCAGCCTGCTAAGGGTGGAGTCATGGGTTCGGGTCACGTCAGAGAGAGTTTTTTTTTCTCACTAAATATATCCTGGTCTAGGATGAAAGCGACGCGCTGCAAAGCTCGTTTGTTAGTAAACCATAATCGACTTCGTAAGTCGCGAGGGAAGGGATTGCTGTACCCTTCTCGCGATAAAAATACCTCAGGCATGAACCGCAGGAGGGGGTCCAACGCCCCCCTCCAATGTGACCCCGGTTGGGCCGTCTAGCTAGTAGAAGTGGAGGATAGGGGCCAGAGGGGCAGACGACAGAGTCCAATGATGGGAGAAAAACAAACAACTACACGTTGGGGCTAAAACACACGACCCACGATAGAAAACAAACGCATATTGTTCTGCGAATCTCTACTAGAACTCATGTCATTTTGGCAACTGCTGTGTGTCCTCGTGTATCGGCCTTGGCGTTCCTTATCCCCGGGCCCGTTCGATACAGCAGCAGCGCCGTACGAAACGGCGGTGTGATGCGCGGAACCTCGGGGGAATCCGAGGAACCTGCAATGTCTGGGGGAAAGATCAGGGCTGCGCAGGTGATTTCGGATCATGTGACACACGCTGCGCCGGATCCTCCGCTCGCAGAGCAAAAGAGAGGAAACTCGTGCGTGCACCTGTCTGTACGGTCAAAATCGCTTGGAAAGCTAGACAGGCATAATTAACTACCAACTAGGGTGAATGGCCACGGGACAACTGCGGTAAGTCGTGCGTGGATCTTTGCCAACACAAAAACGACTATGGATCCTGTCCAACTCGTCAACGCCGATCGGAGATTTGCGTGATAACGGCGTTCGACAGAATGGGTTCGGCGCACGCTTCTTCTTCGGAGATCTTGCGACCGAGCAAGTCGGAGACACATTCCTTTCACATCAGCAGCACCAGGGCCAGCCGCAACACACAACGCACACCTTCTTGCAACCGCCTACCACTTTCCAAAGACGAGATACAGGGCCGACACCGGTGATAACGGCGCAGAGAACCTCGGAACAAGATAGAAAACACGAAGGTGAAGCTAGATATATCAGGTAAAGTAGGATCGCAAGCCCAAAACGTCAAAACCTCGCGATTGCAGGGACGGCAGCAGTCATCTTCAGTGTTTTGGGCAGCTCATTTTGGGAAAGGGTGTTGTTGTTTGGCTTGGCACGGGGAGCCGATCCCGTAGAAGCAGCAGCAATAGCCGTAAGAAGGGAGTCGCTCGGTGTGAAGTTGTGCGTGGGCGATGTTTCTCTGTGGCGCTTTGCTTGCATAACAGACGCTCGCACGAGGACGTGTATGTATGTATGTAGGTATCCCGAGCCTTCCGTCACAAGAAAGCAAGAAAACAATTAGCAGTTGTAGACTATGCATACACAGGATCGCCCCAGGTGGGATCGCCCGAGCTTGATCGTACAGCATGTCGCACGCACCCAACAAAGCGAGGGCTTCGGGTATCTACAGCCAGAAATAACCCAGCAAAAGTATTCAGCGAGAGATTGACAAAACAGTGCTTTTGGCGTATAGACTGTCCTTGGATCTTGTTATTCGATAAAGTCTTCATCGAATACTTGTTGTCTGTCCTGCGCATTTTCCTTGAGCGGCGGCGAAAGGAATGCCGGTGTATTGTTGTTGTTGCTGTCTTCACAATAAACCGTTTGTCAGTTGCTAAATGCCAAAATGTGTGTATGTAGGGAATCGAAACGCGCTGTGAAAACCCTGCTTGAAAACAGATCCCACTGCTTAAGCGCATTCTCTTATCCTTGTGCTGCCCATTAAAAACAACCGGCTTTTGTGGCCAGAGTCCACCGCGGCAACCGGCGGGTAGCAACGTCTTGTTCAGTGAAATCGAGGTCCCACTGGTCGTTACCCCAATCGGCATCCCACAACCTTTGAGGGTTTTGTTCGAGGGAACGATAGCTTAGGCGGCATCCCCACCCACTGCAAATAATCCCACCACACACGCCGTTGTGTTGCTAATTCATGTTGTTCACGTTGCTACTCAGGAGCGTACTGCTGTAACATCCCGACATCCCCGTGGGGGTTATTTTCAAACACATAAAAGTCTACTACCGTAGTCTAGTAGAACCTGTTCGGAGTGGGATGGCCTCCGGAATCGGCTCATGAAAGGACAGAATTGTCGACGGGATGCAGATTAAGAAAAAAAGAACATGGGGTGGTAGCCATCAAGTACACACGCAAGTGCTACGCAAGTACATACGTATACCAACCTGCGCTGTAGCGAGAATCAGGCACCGAGCCGCAACAGCCCAAGATCTGATTTGCTTGGAGCGAGACAGCTGTTTTTCGAGGGCAACTTGAGGACTAACATCTCAACATCTAAAACGCAAACAACTGAGTAAACAGCTGACTGCCTCTAGCGTTTGTATGTTTTTTTTTTTTTCAAAGCCTGGAAAAGGTGATGAGTCAGCCGCGGGCTGAATGACGTTTCCGCTCGAACAGCCCACCGGCACATGACGTGGACTACGACACTGACTGACTTAATTCCGAATTCCCGCAGACTTAATAACACGTTGAACTACATTTTTTGACCAAGTCACAAGCACTACTACTGCTCGCTGGATTGCATTCAAACTTGCGCAAACAGCCCATCTCTGTCCACCTCCCTCCATGCCTTTCAAACCCACTCGCATAAGGCCCACCATTCATTGGCCGTGAAGGCGCTCTTCCACCTTCTTGTTCATCGTTCGTTGTGGCTTCGCAGGTATAACGAGAAGATTCCGCGTCGTCTCCAGAGTACCAAATGATTGTAGCCTAGCGAACTGGTGCGAAGTTTAGGAGCCTGAAATCAACCCATTTGGACTACCGAAATTGTGCGTGTTATTGCACCGGGGTGCGGAACGTTTCTTGCACCGTTCCCATGTATCTTGGTTTTTTGTCGAACCCCGGTCATCTCGTTTGCATACGTAGAGTTAGAGTTCCAACGTCCGGTACGATGACACCGATGGGTGCGATACGGAAGAAATCATAGTGGCCATTTTTCGGTGATGAGTGAACGCACCCACGCCCGGTGCGATGGCATCAATAGGTGCGATACTCAAGAAACGAACATAGACTAGGCGTTTCCCTGGTACAAGTAGGGTAGCATTGAGGAACAGGATCCGGTACCAAAACACACACAAACACATACTCACACAGCCGTCGGTAGAGCAAGCACACACCGGAGACGGCGAAGTACGTATTTGCGTGAGGCAAATGACGAATTACGACCACAATCACGACAAAGGCGGCGAAATTACATGCAAGGCCGCCGCAATTTCGAGTCACGCAGCACATACACAACCACGCACGCTTTTCATTGCGCCATGTCAGAGGGTGCAGGCACCGAGGCTGCTTCCTTGCAGACCAGTGCTAGAGGTGCTGCTGCTGCTGTAGCGGTCGGATCACCGTAAAAAAAAGCTCGAATCATTTTTACGCGCACCCCTCGTCGGTACGATATACATGCTGAAAGGAATTGGTATCTACCGACCTCTCAGCCGTTCGCGACGTTTTTACTGTTGGACACGTGGCCCGGAGGGTACCGGTACCTTGCCGAAAAACGCAAATTTACGTCCTACGCAGGTTTGATATTGTTGATATGGCACCGAGTTCGTTAACACCGATACCGATGCGGAAATACAATTATATAATGACGTTCTTTATATTTTTGCGGACCCCGGTACCATAACACCGATGGGTGCGAAATCAACGATGGGCGCCATAACACGCACAAAATACGGTAATCAGCAGCAGGGGGTTTAGGCTGTGCGAATACTCTCCACGCCGCCTCGAAATATTGCCCAGCATAAGGATGTCTTCGGGTAGGACCACGAAGTCGCGATCATCAAATACGCCTCGCGGTCACGTTATGCACGCCCCGTTTGTTCCCGGGAGAAGGGTAGGGAAGGCGATGCGGACGTCGTGCGTGCTGTTTGAAGGAACCATCTGGTGATGATGTCGTGCTCGACCGTCCCGCCTTCTTCCTGAGTGAGCTGTACACCGCTGAACTCCGCCCCACCCGCCGAACTGTCGACGCTCCAGCCTTTCACCAGGGACGCACAGCAGCAGCCACAGCAGCAGCATCATCATGTCGTCGCCGAAGCAGAACGAGGAAAGTAGGACGCCGGACTTCGCGGCGGGTGGGGCCGGAGCAACCGTGGACATCAACACCACCGCCGGTGCCGCCAGCTCCGCGCACTGCCCGGGGGGGCCGTCTCTACTTCCCGGCGTTTTCGCCGGAGGTATGGCGGCTACTCCCGCCCCGCCGCTCCTGGGGTCGCCGCAGTCAGGCCTGGGGCACCACAAAGCTTGGGCGGCCGGCGGGGGGCTGGGGTTAGGACCAGGGGCGGGGCTAACCGGAGGCTACTGCGGGTGAGTCCTGTGGGTGTGGAACCGGGTGCCATGCGCATGCCGTATGGTTTTCTGCTGAAAATTCCTTGTCGTTGTACGCCGGGGCGGGTAGGTACATGGTGGTGTTGATGTTGGTTGTTCCGGGTGGTTGTGGGGGGTTGATGGTGGCGTTATACGTGGAAGGTCTGTGCGTGCCTCAAGGAGGACCTCTCCATCATCAGCAATGAACATCAGGCGCTTAGGTTAGAAAAATGGCCTGTCCTATGAGTGACGCAGCCGTCAAGGACTCATATTCTTTTGTCCAGAAAGCAGCAACCCCGACGGGCGTCGTGCTGGAGTATGAAACGCGCCTAACCTCCCCCCCCCCCCCCCCCCCCCCCCCNACCTTTAGCCCCCCCCCCCCCCCCCCCCCCCCCCCCCCCCCCCCCCCTGTCGCCAAACGACTCGGTGATTTCAAAGAGGCGGGGTACCGGCAGTCCAGGAAGCCGAGCCATTTTCCCAATCCTGGAACGACTATCTCCTTCAGGGGTAAGCTAGGCACCAACCTCTCGGCTCGTGGATGCCACGTTGTCGTTGCGACGGTGCTGCTTTGTTGCGCCTGGTTTTTTGGGGGGTTTCGTTTTCTCTTCGCTCACAACGCCTCTTTTTATCACCTGTTGCGGCCGGTTGGAAGCGTTTCGTGCACGACTGGCTGCATGTCTCCCTCCTCGTTTTTGGGGTATTNCCCCCCCCCCGCCCCGCCCCCTATTATTCCTACGCGGCAGACCCATTGCTACCAATCAGCAAGACTTGCCCTCGTTGCTAGGGATAGACGGCGTGGGCAATAGCGGCGGCGGTGGTGGAGAGCCACATGGCACCGCGCCAATGACGTCTGGACCCTCTTCGTCTTCTCTGGCCTCATATGCCTCCTCCTCCAACCCCGGGATCGAGCTGGGCTGGGTGCAGCAGCAGCAGCAGCAGCAGCAGCAACAGCAAGGTTTATTCGAGGCGTTGGCGGCAGCGGGAGGGGCTGGCGCTCCTTTCTTTGCTTTGCCTCCTGCGGCCACGGCACCCCACGACGCCCCTTTAGCTGCTGCGGCGGCCGCACAGGGGAATGTGCTGCAGCAGGGGGGTGTAGCCGCTGACGGTGGCGTATCCGCCGCCAGGAACTTCTTGTTGCAGCAGCAGCAACAGCAGCAGCTCCTACAGACGCAGCTGTTGCAGAAGCAGTTCCTGCAGAAGCAGCAGGAGCAGCAGTTCCTGCAGCTCCGGTCCCAGCAGCAGCAGCAGCAGCAGCAGCAACACGTGGCGGCGTGGGAAGACCGCGAATCTGCCGGCGAGGACGGGACGTCATCGTGGAACAGCGGCAACAGCATCGATGACCCCCCGTGAGAAAACGAGACAGCCGCGCTCTCACGCGCAGCGCGCTTGCAACTATTACCCCATGTGCGACGACCCGCCCCTCGCTGCTTTCGTGTTGAGAAGATAGATCTACCTAACTTCCCGAGGGTGTGGAGGTATCCTCTCTTCAAAACGTCGAGATTAACTACTACTCACAGACAGTACTCCGGGCCGGAACGACACGGAGTCGAAATGCCATGGGAACAAAACTGTCGCGGTTTCCGTGCAGTCACTGAAAGTTTCCCGACAGACGCTCCCCC